TGTAGAGGCAAATGGGCGACGACAAAAATAAAAACTTAGACAACATGTAGAATGATAAACTTGATTGTACTTATTTATTATTTAATGACTTTAGTTAAACAACATAAAATAAATGCGAAGATTTCCAAATATTGCTAGCTAAACGCTAACGTTTCCAAATTTGTATTTGCTGGTGATTGTCGGCTGCTGCTCCCGGTGACGATAAATTTGCCTCTGATCGTTGGTAAAAATGTACATGCAGATGATAGCGAATGGGTAGAATTATGTATGTTATGTATGCATGTATTAGTAAATGCAAGAACTCGCTACGAATATATGTATGAGCCAATCACAATGCAGAAATGGTAATAGCAGAAATGAAACATAAGGCACAGGGGGCCTCTACACCCCACCCCGCCGTGAATCACCTAGGGATTCACCATCCAAATGTAGGACTGCAATCTTCGAAGCTGGGCGACGTAGTACCCCTCCAGCAGTTTTAACTTCAGCGAAACGGATCTGACCATCTTTGGCTGGGAATACCCGGGTAACTCGACCTTTTTGCCACTGGCTACGTGGCTGCATGGTGTCGCATATTAACACCAAGTCATTCACTTTTAGGGGCTCAACTTCTTCCTGCCATTTTTGACGCAGGAGTAACTGTGGTAAATAATGCCGTATCCACTGTTTCCAAAATCTGTCTTTTAGGCTTTGGGCTATGCGCCATTGTTTTCTTAGGCATAATTTTCCATCCACTGGTTGCGGCGTTTGCGTCGAATTTGAGCACCCCAACAGAAAATGATTTGGGGTTATGGGATCGTCTTCTTCCGATGACAGTGGTACTTCTGTTAGCGGTCTCGAATTCAAAATGTTCTCAATCTCTATAAGCACACTACGTAGCGTATCTTCCCTTGGCACTTCTTCACGTATGATTTTGGTCAAAAGTCGTTTCACTATGTGAATTAGTCTCTCCCAACAGCCTCCAGAACTTGGATTAGAAGGGCAATTGAACTTCCAGTCTACACCGCGCTTGGATACATCGTTCGAAATACGTTCGAAATCTAAAATACGTTCTGACGCTTTCAGCTCTCTCTGCGCGCCTATGAAATTTGTACCGTTATCGCTTCGGATACGTACCGGAGTTCCACGGCGGTTTACAAAATTGCGTAAGCATATTAGGAAAGCATCTGTTGATAAGTCGTGTGCAAGTTCTATATGAGCCGCCCTTATGGTGAGGCACGTGAATATGACTGCCCATCGCTTCTCCCGGCGGCGCCCTATCGCCACGTTAAACGGTCCGAATAGATCTACCCCTGTATACGCAAAGGGCCTGACGTATGGTGTAATTCGGTCTTCAGGCAACTGACCCATTAATGGTGGTTTAGGTGCGGCTCTGTCAATTCGGCATTGGGCACAACTTCGTTGTACGTTTTTCAATAGTGATTTGGCATGTGGAAACCAGTATTTCTGACGAACCTCACTTAAAATTACTGCAACGTTCTGGTGGTGATACTGTTGGTGGTACTGGCGCATAATAAGCTGTGAGACGATGTGTTTAGACGGCATCAAAATCGGTCTTCTAGCTTCTTTCGGCAGACATGTAGCCTCGTCTATGCGCCCACGCAACCTCAAAATACCTTCAGTGTCTATGTACGGCGATAATGCACGAATAGTACTATGTTTAGGAATATGTTTCGATTTTTCAAGTTCGGCGATCTCCTCGGCGTAAACTTCGTGTTGGACTTCTCTGATTATATATTTTTCGGCTTTCTCAAGTTCGGAGACGGTCAGTGCTGAGGAGTTGTTGTTTTCGTGCTCACGACGTAGAAACTTGCTTACGGCTCGATAAACTAATGCCATCACCCGTCTCAACTTGAGGAAAGAAGAAAAACGATTAAATTGTAATAATGGATCTTTTACCTCAGCATGTGCGACAAGACACGGATGCACTTCCTCCTCAAGCTGAACTGGCATGGGGCTGCATAGCGTAGGTGGCCAATGCTCGACTGGATCCCGCAGGAAATCCGGACCTCTTAACCATGAGCTGTATTTCTCAGCTTTAGGTGGCCATTTTGGACGAGTAGCGATGTCGGTCGTGTTTTTATCTGTAGGTACCCAGCGCCATTGAGAAGGATTCGACGATGACAAAATTTCTATTATGCGATGACCAACGTATGGCTTAAACTTTCTCTCTCTTGAATTTACCCATTGTAACAGCGTTTGCGAATCTGTCCAGAATGTGACTTCTTCAGGTTGAATGGTATGACCTTGACTAATGACTTTGGCAAGTCGAACACCGAGTACACCAGCCTGCAATTCCAGTCTGGGCACCGAGAGGAGCTTCTGAGGTGCACACCTGGTTTTACCGGCAATAAAGGCAACGTCGACATTTTGTGCGCTAGCAATACGAAAATACCCAGCTGCGGCAAATGCAACTTGACTGGCGTCTACTAGTATATGAAGCTGAACAGATGTTGGCGACTGCAGTAGTGGTGAGTAGTAGCGGTTCACCTTGACCTCGTTGATACGTTTAAATTCACCCCACCAGGCAAACCATTTATGTTGAAGTTGATATGGCAATATTTCGTCCCATTCGATGCAACTCTTCCACACCTCTTGAATCAGTATCTTGGCGAATAACAGGAAATCCGCGAGAATACCGAACGGATCAAAAACTGACATTACAATGCTCAAAAGTTCGCGTTTCGTAGGTACGCGTACACCTTCTAGTACTGGCTTTGGAATACGATGGAATCTGAACTTGAACTCAAACGAATCGGTCGGGGTATTCCAATACATTCCCAACACCTTTTCGCAACTACTTTGTCGTTCTAAATTTACGTGTTGGGATACGGCTTCGGTGTCGGTATTCAAGCCGATTTCAAGTTCTTTGATATTGGATACGAAAGATCGAAGCTGAAACCCTCCTTCGGCGTGGACGAATTTAACCTCCTTGCAAACGCGCTCTGCATCTTGGTTGCTCTGAAAACTGGCTACGAAGTCGTCTACATAATGGCTGTCAATAATTGCTGCAGCTGCGTCGGGATATTGTGAGCGGAAGTCCTCGGCGTTCTTGTTCTTGACATACTCTGCAATGCAGGGAGAGCAAACCGCACCAAACACCATTGACATCATAACGTAGTGCTGGACTGGCTGATGAGAGTCGCCATCACGCCATAAAAATCTCTGCGCATATTGATCTGGCTGCTTCACTACCACCTGCGAAAACATCTCACGAATGTCGGCAGCCACAGCTACTGCTCCTTCGCGAAACCTAAATAGTATATCCAGTAACGGCTTGGCTTGTTCTGGACCCTTTAGCAGTACACAGTTGAGAGATACTCCATTCACCTTCGCAGCTGCATCAAACACTATCCTCATCTTGCCAGGTTTGTGCGGGCTCTGGACTGCAAAATGAGGCAAATACCAATTAAAGGATGACTGCATACCTACTTCGTCTTCGGAAAGTTGTCTGGCGTAACCATTTCGTATATATTTCGCAATTTCTTCTTTGTATTTGGCGGAAAAACCCTCATCTAGGCGCATTCTCTTCTCAATACCCAACAGTCGTTTGTAAGCCATAGCATAGCTGCTCGGAAGTGCTGGTGGAACACTTTTCCACAGCAAACCGGTTTCAAAGCGCTTACCGATGCGACGTGTGTTGGCTTCCAGGCTTTGACGAGCGTGTTGATTGTCTTCGGACTCTAGTTGCTTCGTTGCCTCATTGTGGACACCAAAGTTATCAGCGGCGAAATATTCTGCAACCAGTTCGTGTAGCGATTCCAAGTTGTTCTTTTCTCGAATATGTAGTACCACAGGCGTTGTAGTTTGCGCTCGTGTTGAACCGTAGGCTATCCAACCCAGCTTTGTATTAATGGCTACTGGGTTTCCGCTGCCAGCTTGTACTGTTGTAGACGGCACACTTAAATACGTATTGTCTAGACCTAACAACAACGATGGTTTGACTTGATGATAATCTTCTAATGGCAAAATCTTCAAATGGCTATAATCTGCTTTACGGAAGGACTGTTCTGGTAAATCGAGGTTACGAATGGTGCAAATATTTCGTAGCGTGTACGTCGCTGTTGTACATTTGCCCTGTATTTCAACATTCACTTTCGTCGAATCTTCGGTCGTACACTTTTGGCCATACCATTGTAAGGTCAGGGGCTGCTTACGTCCTTTGAGACCCAATCTTGTGGCTACGCTATCGTCTAGTAGTGATATAGCTGATCCTTCATCCACCATGGCATAAACGTCTTCTTTACCGTTCGGTCCGAACAGCGATACTGGCACATATTTAAAAAACTGGCTATTTCGATGTTTGGCTTCTCTGCAATTAAGTACAGACTGAGTTGCAGCGCGACTTTGTGGTGTGGGCGGCGCAGAACTTGAACTCGAGGCTTCATGTAAACTCCGATGATGATAGCGGCGGCAGGCGTTAACGTCACAAAGCTTTTTTGAACGGCAGTTAGATGTGTTGTGTCCTTTACGCAGACACGAAAAACAAAGCTGCAGGGATTTCACCTTTTCCCAACGATCACGAACACTCATTGACTCATTGAAAGTTTGACAATCACTTATCGAGTGTGCCCCATCGCACACATAACACTTTAAACTGGCTGCGTGATCCTGTTTACGCTCACTGCCGACTAACATTACACGACGAGATGGCTGTTGATGTGGCGTTGGCTGCTGGCTTCTCATAACTGCGGTTGACGGTGGCATTAGGCAGACAACTCGGGCAAGGTCACTTAACCATTGTGAAAATTCTTTAATTGTAGCGTACGGCTTTATATTCACTGCATGCCTGGTCCACTCATATTGCTTGCTGGGTGGTAGCTTTGTTACGAGTTGCTCTAAAAGTGTAGTATTATTAAGGTGGTGCTCACATTTTGCTGAAGTTAGAAACGCAACAATATTTCGTGTTCTTGTTGAAAATGATAAAATTTGTTCAACCTTGTTTTCAGCTATGTTCGGAAACTGTTGAATTTTGCTTAGCTGACTTCTTACCAAGAGGTCTGGCCGACCAAATTGAAACTCCAGCTCCGCGATGGCATTTGGCACGTCTTCGGGGTATATCAGCATCGAAGCTACCGTTTCTTTCGCACGGCCCACTAGGCACTTGTGAAGCCGCATTAAATTCTGCCGATTGCTATAACGAAACGCTTCGGTGGTGTCTTTAAAATTAGCCAGGAAGAGCGGCCACTCTTCTGTATTACCCGAAAACGTAGGCAAGTCGTATAATTTATTTGCTGACTCACTAGTTTCCACCAATGTATTTTGGGCGGACCGTTCCGGCATAATTTCGGACGTAGTTTCACTTGCCTGTTGGGTTACTACCGGTTGATGTACATCTAGTTCAATGTTATTTCGCAGCCTCTCTATATCACGTTGACTCTCCTCTGTAACCGTCTTCAATTGCGCAACAGCATTCGTTAAAGCGTTGAGGCTGGCTACAATCGCTGAAAATTGTCCACCTTGTGCACCATCATTAACCCCACCATCGCCCTCCATTTGTTCACCTTGCGATCTGTCTTGATGTCTTAAATTGTAATTGCTACCCGGCATAATATCCGCTCACCAAGTCGTACCACCAAACGTGTGAATCCAGCAAACCTTAAAAACTCGAACTTTTATTAAGCCCCGCTCTCGCAAGCAATAACCAAAGGCATTCGATTTCATGCAACTGTACAACCTTACCGATACAGCCAGCCACTTTACCCCACTTTTTTAATTGCAATCACCATCAAAAACCGCTTTGCAAAAAACTCCAGCTTCTCTTTAGCAAAACCGTTCCACGAAAATTAACTGCTATGATGACGAACCGCTTTACACCAACTCCAATTTATGACGATGAACCGCTTTACTTAAACACCAACTGATTTTGTTTTACAGCTAGCCGACATCACTTTATTTGGAGAACAGCAAAATTTGGAAAGATAATGTAGAGGCAAATGGGCGACGACAAAAATAAAAACTTAGACAACATG